CTCGCTGTGCATAATCTACTCAGCCTATTCTCACAGCGCATTTGGAACTTGATGCATGAACAAGAACAGCTGGTGACAAACAGAACTTTAGTCTGCAGCATCATATTTTTATATACTTCCAATGTGAGATCGGAGAAAAGGGAACAGGAACACAGAAGTACTTAGAAGAAAGACACAGAGTTGTTTACATGGTGTTCTTATCTATCTATCTATCTATCTATCTATCTATATACATATATATAAATATATATACTATACTTTAACAACAAAGAATGCTACTGAAACAGAGTCACTATTTACAAAGTCTACTGTGGTCTGCTGAAAGACATTCCTGCAGATGACATGTTTAGAAACCTTGCGAAACATCCCGCACATTTCACAGAGAAGGCATCATCCCTCGTTTTTCTTCCCCCCCTCATCCTGTTGTCAATTTCCCCCTAATCCCTCCTCTCTGCTCTGTCCTTCTGTGGCGGTACAGGCCGTCTGTCATGAGCACCAGAGGAGTCGGACAGCATTTCCTGGTCACAGCTGATAATGTGCCAGGCCAAATGTACATCTGAAGACGTGAGGCATGATGTCAAGAACCCGCCAGCTGAGTCAGTTTAGATGCAGTCCGTCTAGATCTGTGGTGTGATAGGCACACGCTAGATATAATCGTGACTCAGAGACGCTTACTAAATCTGCTCACGTCATGTGGTGCCCCTCCATGTGCACCAGGAGTCAGTTTCTGTATTAAAGGTGCAGTAAGAGATTAATCAACCCAAATAAACACAACCCGCTCTTCATTGCTCTGCCCACCGAAACGCACGAACATGTCATGCCTCTTTATGTATGTCTCTTTATTATAGCTGAAGTGAAGCAAAATAATTTCTCTGACCTTTTCTCTTTTGTAATGTCTCTCAGCCATCTCTCTTTCTACAGTCTTTCTTCAAATCTCCCTCTTGCTCACTCTCTCTCATGAGTGGACACGCGCGCCCCCTACTGCTGATTGGCTACAAGTGTGTTCTGCTGCTCGCTCTGATCCACTTTCAACAGCGTTTCTCAGGAATCATTTACTGCGATTATTAAAGGAGTTTCAAACTTCAAGGGCACCATTTTCCACCCTCTCTGTTGTTTTTGCTGCTATTTCTATATATGTAAATGAGCACTGTTATGACTGGCTAATCATACCCCCCCCCCCCTCCCCCCTCCCCTGCCAAGTTGCTAAATAAAAACATATGTTTTACATTGCTTTAACTAATCCAAATAAGTTAAGCAATTTTCAACTATAAGTAATATAAGATTCATCTCATTTAATGTGATTTAAGTTGAAATGACTTAAATATATTCAAGTTGACTGTACTTAAAATTTTAAGGCAGCAAATTTATTTTACAGTGCATCATACAAAAGTTTCGGATACGAAATTTTCATGACAATTAGGCACATTTTCCTGTCAAATTCTCATTAGCGTAATGCATCCGAACATTTGACTTTTGAGTAGTTTTTTAATTCCCATCATTCTCAGTGATGATTTTTCAATTGAGATAAAAAAAGAGTAATACTTTTATTCAGCAAAGACGCATTAAATTGATCAAAAGTGTAAAGACATTTGTGTTACAAAAGATTTCTACTTCACATAGAAACATTTCTTTCAAAAGTGTCTGTCAATCAAAATTTCACACAAAAATGTATCATGGTTTCCACAAAAACTGTTTTCAACTATTTTCTTTAGCAGCAAAGCAGCATATTAGAATAATTTCTGAAGGATCATGACATGCCTATTATGATTATTGGAGTACGTCTGCAGAATGTGATAAATCGAACACTTTTATTTCAAAAGAGAAATAAAGGGTCTGTTTTCTATTATACAACCAGGGCTTGACATTAACACCCGCCAACCCGCCAAATGCGGGTGGATTTTGCTCGTGGCGGGTAACACAGTCACTTCAACTAGCCACTTTGGCGGGTTGAATAATTGTAGTCTTTTCAAAAGGCATCTGAAGCGCACTGGCTGCGTGGCGTGCGCGTCTCAGCTGCGTGGTGTGTCCGTTTTTATTTCGGCTCCCATGTTAACAGGTTAGAACTTGCACACTGCCTGCGTGACGCGCGTCTCGAGCCGCGCCGAAAACGCGTGCATGCTAGAAAAAAAACCGACGCCTATTTCTCACGCGACACGCAAGCCTGTTGGAAGCGTTTCCAGGCTAAATAGAATAGGAAAATATGTCATGTTGACACGAACACATATTAATAAATGGCATTTTTATGTTTGAAAGTCCATAGGTTTTGGCAAATGCAGATATAATTTAAAAAAATTCAAATATTGCACCTGTCAATACAGAACGAAATATTCTTATAGCCTATTTTGCCGTCTATGCTGCAACGCCCGAATCCCGAGATAGCCCTCCATGTACGTTACCAGCAGACACGTTTCTGGTGTGCAAAGACACAGAAAACGCAACTTGTAACAAAGAATTTCCCATCGGGGCTCAATAAAGTAATTCTGATTCTGATATTTAAACAGACAGTGTTTCTAATGCTAAAGGTTTTTTGTTTAGTTTTTTAAATTTTTTATTAATCTTCTACATCCATGCACCACTTTTATTATGCAATAAGAAGCTATGTCTTCATCTTAATACATGGTTTTATAGGAGCTTTAAAGGAGCTTTACACACAACCTTATCAGAGCTAATGATAATGACCTGTATTGTTATACCTAGTCTTGATTTGCGTGTGTACAGTGGTTTTACATTTAAAAGGGTTGTAAATCTAGTTCAAGTAAATTTTAGCACGCCATAGTCAACTTTAATCAGGTAATTTCACAACAACAAAAATGTGGCTAGTAAAAATGCTGTGTGGCTAGTAACTTTGGAAAACCACTAGCCACATTGGCTAGTGAGCAAAAAAGTTAATGTCAAGCCCTGTATACAACCCTCTTTAAAAACTTTCTTCCTGGATGTTGCTAAATCTGGAATCATTATCAGTATTGGTGCATCCCTAATTTCTCCTTTAATTGATCTTTTCTGCCCGCAGTCTACACAACCCAATAGATAACATGAGCAGCAGACATATTTCATCTGTCGGGACTGGGGAGATATTGTTTGAAATGTTCAAAGCATGTGTGAGGAAGCAAAAGCGTCTTTGACACAGAATCGGTGGGTGGGTGTCATTCCTCTTCTCTGTCTCTTTCTTTTCTCTGAGAGCGTTTTCCTCCCACACCGTGACCCCAGTTGGCGCGCGCTTCCCTGAGGCAGGATTTCCTCTTAGGCTTTTGCTATGCAAGAAATGTTCTGTTCCGAGATTCTATAGGGAGCATATCCTTGCAGACATATTGCAGCATTAAGGATCCAACGCATAACCGAATGTTCAGTACAACAGCGCAAACCCAGTGGGTTTCACAGGCTAAGAGCAAAGCTATGCCAAGTTACTGAATACTGAACGTGGGCGGTCATATGTTAATGTACTTTGTGATGTCAGTAACTCTTGCAAAAGAGTCTCTGTTATTAAACTGGAAAATGTGGTGCTATATGTTGCATGTGATGCACTAAATAGAGCTTATAGATATTATTATTAGACTGACACTAATTTGGCTCCAGTTAAGTATTTTCTCTTGTTTCTAATTCTGCTGCCAGTGTCATTTCAAGCATTTCTGTTTACATTTAAGGAAATTAAGCATCTAATGCTTTTATTGAAAATATTCCCAGCAATGTCTCAGTGCCGTGGCATGTGGTCGACTTTTGCAATGGAGGTAAATGTTTGGTTGTTTTAGTCCAGTGTAAATTCATGTTCAAATTTGAAGGCATATAAAACAGCATTTTAACTTGGGGCTAATAATAAACCAATATTGTTTATATTAACATATTTCTTAAATCACATTTAAGTCTCATCAGGTTTTTTTTTAATTTTTAAAACACCACAAAGGTGCACATTTGAATTTAACCAAATTGTGTGGTGCTTAAAAAAAACAACTTACAGATCAGATAAAGATTTGCGTTTTAATTTGATGTTGATTCAGATATACCAGAAGGTCACACATTAGTGCCAAAAGTTGGCTTCATCCGAAATTGTATACTTCCCTATGTGACAAAAGAAATATGTCTGGATTACATTCATACTATAACATACTTTTTTAGTGGTCGTGAAGTAATTACTTGTTACATTATATATAAGTACCTACTCAAGGGAGTATGCGATTTCGGATGCAGCCTTAGTCTGTTCATTTCGTGAACGTTTGACCTTTTTGATTTGCATTCGGTTATATCATGTGATCAGCCAATCATAATGATGTGGAAGCACCAACTCCCCTCACATTTCATGCAGTCAACTTTGTCGCTAGAATAGATTAGCAACTTTCACACCCCTTTAGCAACTTTTTTCTTCAAAATAGCGACTAGCAACAAATCTAGTGACTTTTTGGACTGCTGGTTGACATTTAGTCAGTCACTATATCATACTCGTTCCGTTGTCTGACAGAAAATATGTAAAGGAGAACAGCTTTATCGGACATTCGACTATATATTAAAATATGTGAGCACGGATTAGGGGAGAAAACAAATGTTAAGTGCCGACAGTTGGCACATTACGTCATCTAGCGACATTTAATGACTTTTTGAGCTAATTTGCATTGAAAATAGTTGGCAACACTGATAAATTCAAGAGAGAAAAAAGAAAGTGCTGCCTTTTCTTGAAACTAAATCTGCTGGTGTGGGTACAGTCAGTGTCACCTTAGATAAATGAGTGGTTTAATTTTGTTTTATTCTTGTGCTGTTGATTACTTTCTTAACCCCCTTTTTTGAGGAAACTTTAAAATGTTTCAATCCCCTGGAATGTTTTAATCCTACAAAACTGACAGATACAATGTGGCAGTTTTTTGTGCTATTGCGTTATTAACCATATCCTGAGGAGATGAATGTTAGAAGTGATTACTCAGATCATTCATCATCTGGCTTATTTTGCAGAAGAACTAAATGCTCTCTCTCTCTCTCTCTCTCTCTCTCTCTCTCTCTCCCTTTATTTTACCCAGTGGGCAGTTTGCTATTGTGAAGCGCTGTAAGGAGAAGAGTACTGGTGTGGACTACGCTGCAAAGTTCATAAAAAAGCGTCAGAGTCGGGCTAGCCGGAGAGGTGTTCGGCGAGAGGATATCGAGAGAGAAGTGGACATCCTCCAGGATCTCCAACACCCCAACATCATCTCGCTGCATGACGTTTACGAGAACCGCACTGACGTGGTGCTCATCCTGGAGCTGTAAGTGAGAACACGTCCTCCCACGCTGTTTGTGAAGAGCTACAATTACCCACTAGCACAGCCGTCCTCACTGTATAGCTCTTAAAGGGGGCCATATCCAAAACCCTTTTATCGTTTTATTTATTAATGAGAGCTGGCTGGAGACCCAAGTTTGGTTTGAAGGTGAAAAACGTACCAAGCACAATGTTCTCGCACCATTCCTGATTTCTAACACACACTCACAGCGTTCGGCATGGTCTTGTGGCTCTCAGAGCAGAAACAAAAGCTGATGCTCTCCGAATGTTTTTCCGTCATCTCCCGGCCATTAGATCGAAAGATCTGGAAAAACCCATACATTTACCTGCTCATAGAGAAATCAGGACAGAAGTGGTTGAAACTAGACAAAAGATACGGATTAAAACACCAGGTGTAAACGCGTATGTGTCTCCCTAGTCTACCTGTGATCTGATTGACCAAATCGCATCTTAATACCAGGTGTAAACAGGGCCTAAGTTGCGTCCGAAAGATTAGGCAGCTGACTTGTTGCCTCATTGCCCTATGACTTTGCAGGCAGTACCTCACGAAACTGATTCCGGACCGACTTTTGAGGCAGCATATCGATTTAACGATCTACAACAAAATAGCAAGCAAATATAATAAGCAAATATTTAATTACTACAATACTAATGTCTCACTAGAAATGACATCAAAAGTGGAAAACATTGAAAAACTGACCACCAACAGCAACTTTCAGATGCTATATTTATTTTGTAGCTCTACTGTCAGAGAATGGAAAGCACAGGATTATGGTATATCAAAGGCAGTGAAGATACATCTATGCTGCCCTCAAAAATCAATCAGATGAAGGTATTTCAAGACAGGATGTGGTACAATCATTGGGTTATGACGTGCATTGAGCTTTCAGACACATCCTTAGTTTTACATGACCATGTTCATCTTTTCTCTGATCCTTAGAATTCAGACGGGTGTTTTTGTTACTTCACACTCAAGATTTCTGAATGTAAATGAAAAATCCAGCAAAATATTAGCTGAATTTAAAGGCCATTTGTGTCTAACAAACAGCGTTGTACTTTCAAATGAATGTGAGCTACTGCTTGATTTCAAGTGCCTGTCCTCAAATGACATTCCTCTTTAGTTGACTAATGCCTGCCGCTCTCGTCCAAGAGCTCATAATTTATCTTACTCACTTATTTAACTTTAGTCTCTTTAGGCTTTCTCGAAAGAACGCTTACCATCTAGTCCTGAGCTATAACAGCTGCTTCAAGTACCATTTTAATCAACAAAGACCTGATTCATTGAGTCAGGTGCATTAGTCTGCAAAAACATTGGCTGCATGATGTAGTTTGCATCCCATTCTGCATATTCTCCATCCTACACAGTACAGCATGAGACATTTGGATTGGTGTGTCCCAAATCATTGTGCATTTAAAATATTATGCCAAAGGTGCATAGTACTAATATATATTATGTATTTCTATTGGATTTTCATCAGTGCATCAGTTTGGCTTAAATGTTTGGCTAATATTTTTATGCTTTTTTGTCTAATATTACCCATGCCATGACCCCTTGCGCTATGGAAGAAGAGGAATTTAAACTACCATGCTACCCATTTTTAAATGTATGAACCTTAAATTTAAGTTATAAGGGATTTAAATATAATGGTTATAAAATGTATTCACACAATCGTAGTTAATGTAGAACTTGTATATTATATATTAGTTAATGCATAAAATATGTATTTTATAAAGTGCATTTTTGTAATAATAACACACACACATAGTTTAGAAAATGGTAATAAAATATGACAAGAACCCTGAGTTATCAAATCAGTTGATATTTCACTGGTTTTGGCCAACCTTCTGTAGACTGTCTCACTAATGAATTAGGTTGAATAGTTGTCAGCTGTTAAATCTAAGTACACAATTAGATAATACCAATTTAGGTCAACCAATTACCAAGCAATGCTTAATTTTGTTCAGTCTGTGGTGTAAAAATGTCACATTAGCAATTAAAGAAAAAACACTTAAGCAAAACATGGTAAGGTCAAAGTTTCTGAATAATTTTTGGTCCCAAATTTTATACTTTTTTTTTTACCGGTTGTCCACTGTATGAAGAATTTTTGGGTATAATATGTCACAGTTTACTTTGTTTTTGCTATCATCACTTACATAAATGAACTATAGTGTTGTGCACCCACTAGTAAAAAAAAAAAAAAAAATTTACATCTGGTGGAATTTTTGGTTTGACTGTATGCAAATAACTTATCATATCACTATATATATATATATATATTGGTAAAAGGCTATGTCCCAAAACTGGCATACTGTTGTTTACATACTCAAAAACAGTATATTAACATTGCCAGTAAGCATTGTTGACTGTTCCCTTATGTCATTTTAAAAATAACTATTTGCCACAATAGTATGTGTATTTGGTGTATCTCGTGGTCTGGAGGCCAGTGTGTTTGTCATTCTCTGAATGTGTAGGGGAAGCTGTAGTAAATGTCAGAGCTCTAGAGTTTCTGGGAGGCCCGGCTCAGGTTTTCACTGCCTGGGATGTGTGCATGGGAGCGTGGAAGCTCAATTAGGACTAATTGTGGCCTGAATCCAATCTGAGCGGTTGTTGAATGGACTGTCTGTGACAGTCAGCTGCTCTGCATTTTTAGTAAAGAGCATCGTTTTGGGTGCACTGATCCAACCCGATCACACTAAATGCGTCTCTATAGCACGCAGTGTGTTTATCATGCAATTTATACGCGAAAATGAGTTTTTACGTGCATAGGATACGCATGGGTTGGTTAGGGTAGGTGTGGGGTGCATGTGTATTATACGTTTGGGTAGAATTAGTGGTGTGGGGTGCATGTGTATTATACGTTTGGGTAGAATTAGTGGTGTGGGGTGCGTGTGTATTACACGCAAATGAACTGCGTATCAAATGCACGCGAAAACTGCGTATCATATGCAACTAAAAACTAATTTCCGCGTATAAATTGCACTATAAAACACAATGCGTGCTATAGAGACGCATTTACGTGAGAACAGGCTTGTACCTGTTCTACCCAAACGTATAATACACACGCACCCCACACCACTACTAAACCTAACCTACCCTAACCAACCCATGCGTATCCTATGCACGTAAAAACTAATTTTCGCGTATAAATTGCATGATAAACACACTGCGTGCTATAGAGACGCATTTAGTGTACAAATTCAGCTAAGCTGGTATACTACCATATTAAAATGTCTGTGAGTGTTTGGGAAAGAGATTTCTGCAGAGCTATGATAAAGTGGTTTGATGTTAGTGATAAAAAGGGCTGTGCTAAGCTGTTTAAGCTCTGCTGTGGTTTACTGTCACAGAGGAAGTTTACTAGTCTCATTTTATTGAGATGAACATCTCTGTATGTGTGAGATAAACCTTTTGGGGTGTCAAGTCAAGTCATCTTTATTTGTATAGCGCTTTCTACAGTACAGATTGTTTCAAAGCAGCTTTACACAGTGATAACAGGATAAGAATGCAACCGAGTTTGTTTCGGCTGTACATCAGATCTAGAAGAAAATAGCGTCATAGTCCAGTTTAAGTTAGTTCAGTGATGGTTCATTTTTGTTGGTTATTAATTTAGTTCATTTATATATATATAGCCGCTCTGGAGAAAACAGTGATGTCATAGCTTATGACAGCTTAGCACAGCCCCAGTTTTCATATAATGGTTGGTGTCAATGCAGTCAGATCAATAATATTTTTGAATATTAAGTGTCCCCAACTAAGCAAGCCAAAAGCCAAAGGCGGTGCTCAGTTTATACTCAGTTAGGAGGGTATTTTTGTTTAGACTTATAAATTGTTTTAACAATGGTTGTAGGTTTGAGATTATTTTCCCCTCAACTAACATAATTACATTGAAATAGACAAATGATGTACAATTTTAGAAATGCAAAAATGCAACAGGAATGGATGGATGGATGGATAGTCAGCTTATGTTTGCCGGACTTGTTTGAGGATGCATCTTTGAATGTCTGTCACTCTACTGGTTAGCATGATATATGGGTAACCCACTTCTAACCACATGACTCTTTTTTTCTCAGTGTTTCAGGAGGTGAGCTCTTCGACTTCCTGGCTCAGAAGGAGTCGCTGAGTGAAGAGGAAGCCACAGAATTCATCAAACAGATTCTCAATGGAGTTCAGTACCTGCACTCCAAGAAAATTTCACATTTTGACCTGAAGGTACAAAACAAGTTTTGTCCACGGCGATCTTAAATCGGTTGTATAGTTTCCTATTAATGGCTTGGTTGTGGAGGCGAGAAATAGCTATAATGGTTGCCATGGCAACAGTATAGCTCTTCCTCAAGCAGAGGTGAATTGGCCTTTACTGAAGAACAATCGGGTCTGTTGCATGGCAACACCTGAAACTTTGCATGACAAAATAGCTATTCTCTTTTCTAAGACCTGCTATTGTACTGTTTCTTGGGAATGCATACATGACCCCATTTCTGTCAACTGTCTGGAAATTCCTTCCTTTCACCAGCTTATAAACAACTTCCTCTGCTAATGACAGCTCTAACTAATCACTGTGGCATACATCATCCCATCATGGACCGAGAGCGTACGTGTGTTTGAACCCCATTCACATGTGTTCCTCGTCCGGCCTGGCCCAGATCCAGACATTCTAACACAGCAAGGTTATCAGCGGCACTTGATGAGACATGTCACCCACGCTGTTCCCTGCGATAATCTCCATCCTGTTTTTCTAAGTGCTACGTCTCCACAGTCGCCAGCACATGCTTAAACTCTACAAGGGCAGACAGAGACACTCAAAAGATATTACTTTGGCAAACTCCCTCTCTTGCTCCAGTCAACACATGCTAACTGCTATACAAACAAAACATGCCATTCCGTGCAATGCTCACGAAAGAATGGCAATAAAAAAGCTAATTTAGCTAGCAGCAAAATTTGGAGATTTAGGAAGTAGCCAGTGACTAATTACAGTAGATCACTGGATATCGCTTAGCATAAAGGCCTGTTCAGACCGATGCGTAAAACCCAGCTGAATGGAAATGCAGATTCACTTTCTGACAGTGGATGGCGCTTTTAGCAAAGCAGAATTTCCTGGTTACTCTGGGACGCAAATGCTACGTAACTTTAGGTTTCTGACACCCACTTGTCATTAGGGTGACCACCTGTCCCGCTTTGCGTTGTACCACACAGCATTTTCACCCCTTGTCCCACACATCGCATATTGAGATAACGTCCCGCATTTTCATAAGTCTGTTGGTTTTTAATGATCTAATTAAGAAAACGTGCATGCGGTCTTTTACCTTTTTAAAGGGGTCATCGGATGCCCATTTTCCACAAGTTGGTATGATTCTTTAGGGTCTTCATGTAAAGTTTGTAACATACTTTGGTTAAAATTTTTCAATGGTTGTGTACCTCCTCAAAAACAGCTCTTTTCACCGCGACCCGTTTCGGTGCAAGTAAGTAAGTAAGTAAAATGTATTTATACAGCGCCTTTCACAGACTAAGTCACAAAGCGCTTTACAATAGACAAAAATGGATAAAAAATAAAATAAAACATAAAATTATCAATATATAAAGTACAGAGATTACCCAAAAGCTAACCTGAACAAATGAGTCTTCACTTGTCCCCTAAAATTGTCCACATTCTCAGCAAACCTAATACTGGTTGGCAAAGCATTCCATAATCTGGGTGCCATAGCGGCAAAGGCTCTATCCCCACATGTCTTTAAACGAGTGCGTGGCGTGGATAGCAGATTTTGATTATTAGACCTGAGAGACCGGAGAGGGGTATGAAAATGAATTATGTCAGCAAGATAAGCAGGGGCCTGACCATGTAAAGCCCTATAGGTTATGGTTATTTTGAATTGGATCCTGTAAGTTACAGGAAGCCAGTGAAGGGAGCAGAGTATCGGGGTGATATGGGTGCGTCTATTTGATCGAGTAAGTAACCTAGCAGCTGAATTTTGAATGGATTGCAGTCGATGAAGAACAGATTTGTTAAGTGAAGAGAAAAGTGAGTTACAATAATCAATACGGGAGAAAATGAAGGCATGACTGAGCATCTCCAGTTCTGAGTGAGAGACCACAGACCTCAATTTACTTAAATTACGTAAGTGGAAAAAACAGGATTTGGTCAGCGATTTGATGTGGGTTTCAAAGGATAGGGATTTATCAAATGTCACCCCAAGGTTCCTTAAACTAGTCCGGACCGCAGATGACAAAGGTCCAATGTTCTGCATAATCAGAGGAATAGTGCTGTCTGGCGCTACAATTAAAACCTCCGTCTTATCTGGATTCAGGTGCACGTCTCTTTAAATGATAATGAGCAACTGCCAGTATTTGCATGCTTTCAAACAGCCGTTCAGATTTTGTATCTTGTCATATGCTAACTGCTATGTAAGCAAAACTGCACGCAAAAGAATTGTTCATAAAGATAGCTATTTTAGGTAACAGCTAAATTAGGTCACTGGATATTAGCTTATCTCAGCTTAGTATAACTACCAAATTCTTTCATTTAAAAAGATATTAGCTTAGCAGAACTTCTTTTCTTGTTCAAAACAACATGCTTACTGCTCTTTTGACAAATACACCATGCCATGCTCACGCCTAATGAAAGAGTACAGGGAAAGATGGGTGGGTCTGGAATCTTCCTCTGTTATTCACTCTTGCTTAGTAAAATATTTTAGTGACACCAAGTCATGCTCTGGACATGTTTTCTTCGTAGTACTGTAGAAAATTAGAGATTAAAACACCTCTCCGTAAAAAAATCAAGCATGTTCATGTTGATCTGAACAGATGCATTAACAGCGTTCATTGGAATTGAAATTTTATCGCACTGAATTTTTCATTGAATAATCATCTTGGTATGAACAGTCCTTTACTCCCAAAGACTCTTACTCAAGGATTTTAGCTTTGCATAACTCTCTCGCTTACACCAATGAACATATGCTAACCGCTGACAAAACGAACCATGCTCACAAAAAATTGTTCTTTGAAAATTTTATTTTAGCTAATAGCTAAATTCAGATAATTAGTAAGTAGCCAGAGACTAATTAGGTCACTGTATATTAGCTTAGCTTAGCTTAGCTTAGCATAACTCCCAAAGAATTTGTACATCCTAAACATGGCACAATTCCTGAGGGAACATAGTCTACATCCTCCTCCTCACTTGAAGTCAGCTGGATGCCTCTTTTCACCTCTTGGGTGCGTAATGTATTAATACGGGAACATAACAGGTGTTGAGTCCCACGCAACGTCCCTCAGAATTACATGAAACATTCAGCCACTTCATTAGCATGCAAACTGCTGAGGTGGAGGTTAACACTGATTAGCCGTACACACACGACAAATACCATTTATGGACTTGAAAATGTAAAGCTTGTGTATCTCCACTGTTGTTTTCATAGTCATGAATGATACAAAAACATGGTGCACTAAAAACTAGCCTGTATTTTCTGCCAGGCTTAGAAAGGTTAGCAAGACTCATCCTCAATATTAGCTATCAGGCTATAATGTGCTTTGTGAACTCAAGATGTTCCAGTTTCACTTTTTTTCAGTTCATTTTTTTCTCTCTCTCATTTTCACTATATAGAACTGAAGACAAATGAATTTCCCACTTGATTTTAAAATTGAGATAATTTTTTTCCCTTAACTTCTTTATTAAGAAGTATTGATCATGTAAAATGATAATATAGTAGAACAAACTGAATAATGAATGACAGGTTCAGCATTGGACAGTCAGACAGTGACACCCATAATGTCAATGGAAACATAGCTGCCAATTGATTGAAGTTTTTGACTTTGTTTGGGTGACTGTTTATGGTTTTAATATGTAATTTAATTGTTTTTCAGCCTGAGAACATCATGCTGCTGGATAACAACATCCAACTGCCACGGATCAAGCTTATCGACTTCGGTTTGGCGCATAGGATCAAAGACGGAGTAGAGTTCAAAAACATTTTTGGGACTCCAGAATTTGTTGGTAAGTTCAAAAGTTCATGATGTAAAATGCTAAGTGAGTGATTCATTGTCTTGGATGACACTGATGGGTCAGATGCTTCTGAAATTCTCTACCATCTTTGGACATCTTACATTGTTGTTTTGAATCAAATGTAGCTAATGCCTCTAACCTGGTTTATTTTCAGCTCCAGAGATAGTCAACTATGAGCAGCTGGGATTAGAGGCCGACATGTGGTGAGAACTTTTTTAGCAGATCACGCTTTGTACTTTAAAAACAGCAAGCGTCAAAGCTCGGCTATGGCTTAACCATGTGCTCTCTTCCGTCCCTCTGTTTCCTCCAGGACCATCGGAGTCATCACATACATCCTGTGAGTATGAATGGAAGAATGACATCTAGACATTCCACAGAATGATTGACAGATTCCATGGAGTTCCATACATATGGAATTAACAGGTCACGTGCTGAACAGATGTATTGATGAACCACATCAATGAATAATGAATGAGAGGTTCTCATAATGGGCCTTTCACATATCAAACAATAACACCCTTATGCCCATGTGAATTGTGAACATTATCGGATTAATATCTGAACGCACCCAGTATACCAGTTTGTACTCAGTTTGTAGGGATTTTTTGTTTAGATTAACAAATCTGACAATAATTTGATAGAATTAAAAAATATATATATTTTGTATTATACATTTAGATCATGTTAAATTTTAATATTAGGAGAACAAACAATATCCAATTATATTTTAAAATATAATCTATTCCTGTGATGGCAAAGCTGTATTCACAGTTCACAAGCTCATATTGATTGAGAATGATAGAGGTAAACAAATATATCGATATACCAGAAAAGTGAATAACGAATGACAGGTTGAGCCTTGGGCCATCAGACAGCTACACCCAAACTGTTCCACCTATCACCATTGTGAACATAATTACAGCACTTAACAGCTGTCTGATGCGTAAACTCCTGCATGTGTTTGGATTCCACTGTCGGATCACTTTCAGGAATTAATTAACAGGAATTTTCGAATGTGCTTGTACATAGGTCAAGCATTTGTCTTTCTTTTTCAGATTAAGCGGGGCTTCGCCATTCCTGGGCGACTCCAAACAGGAAACTCTTGCAAACATATCAGCTGTTAACTTTGAATTTGATGAGGAGTTCTTCGGGAACACAAGTGAACTGGCCAAAAGCTTCATCAAAGAGCTGCTGGTGAAAGATACAAGGTGAGAGTTCAAATCACGATTCATAAAGAGACCATAAAGAGAAACAACAGTAAAGGCTTCAGTGTGAGGGATTGTTTGGCAAATTGTTTTCTCTTTTTTTAGAAGGGCTGTCAATACATTTTTTTGTGATTAAATCTAATATTTTTGTAGTTAAGTTTGTCTTTGAATATATTTATGCAACAGTGTTTTTACTAGTCTCACAAGTAAAAAAGAAAAGAAAAAAGAATCTATATAAAATGCATAAACATGCACATTTTGACAGCTTAATTGTCATTAATAGCGTTTAGACAAGTTTGAGCTTGTCATTTTCATTACTGTCAGGTTAATGTTAAATGATGCCTAATGATGTATTATATTCTATGGTGGCATCCTACAGATCTAGTGTTTACTACGGCTAAGTAGACTTGCTACGAGTCAAAGTGAGCCTTTTTGAGCCTTATGGACTTAATTTTGTACAGTCGGTCTCCAGCCCTACACATAATTTAGGCCATACACTGGATCTTGTTTTGTCTCGTGGTTTCTCTGTACATATCTGTGAAGTATTGGATGCTGGCACTTCTGATCATGTTTGAGCCTGTTATTTCATATGAGCAGCCTATCCTTTCTCAGCCTGTACATTACTTTTGTGCCTTTCATGCAACTACTGCTGTTGAATTCTTATTCCAAGTTCCTTTCAATTCTAATGTCTCTTTGTCATTCTGTATGAACACCGAACAACTGGTTGAAACTTTCAACTCCACTTGAAATGACTTGAGTGTGTCGTTGGAGTCCAGGGCCTAGCTTTACAGTGGTTCGCCTCATACTTAAAGGGGAGGACCTTCTCTGTAAATATCGAGTCATTTACTTCACCCTCTGCGCCTATCCATTGTGTTGTTCCACAGGGATCTATTCTTGACCCTCTTTTGTTTTCCCTCTACATGCTTCTTTTAGGCTAAATATTCCAGAAACATAACATAAATTATCATTGTTACACTGACGACCTCCAACTATATCTTCCAATCAAACCAGGAAATTACTTTTCATTAGATCATCTCTTTGCATGCCTCAATAAAGTCAAGACGTAGATGACTAATAACTCACTGCAACTGAATTTAAAACAAAACCGAAGTGCTTTTACTAGGTCCTGCTGCTACCAAAAACTCCATTAAAACAGTTAGGTTCCTTAACTAACAACCTACACAATCATGCAAAAAATCTTGGAGTCTATTTTGATCCTCTTCTTCAATTTGACAAGCATGTAGTTGTAAAGAGTAGCTTCTTTCAGCTCAGAACTGTAGCAAAAGTGAAACACTTTCTTTCTAGTAAAGACCTTGACTTTGATTTGAATTTTGATTAATGCTCATGCACCAATTTCCTCTCGATTGGATTACTGTAACTCTCTGTACGTTGGCCTACCTCAATCTACACTGTCTCGGTCATAGATGGTTCAAAATTCAGCAGCCAGATTGTTAACAGGAACCAAGAAAAGGGATCATATCTCCCCTGTGCTTGCCTCATTGCATTGGCTACCAATGAAATTTAGAGCCGACTTAAAGATCCTTCTTTTCACATACAAGGCACTGCACAATTCGGCCCCGGATTATATTTGTGATCTTATTATAGGCTATACACAGCCTCTAGGTCACTAAGATCTTGTGATCAGTTACTTTTATCGTTCCCACATTCTTGTTGTAAAACAAAAGGCTCTGTAGTTACCCCAAAGCTCTGGAACAGTCTACCTTTGGACATCAGGGCCTCTCCATCACTGGATGCTTTTAAATACAGTTTAAAGACTTACTTTTATTCTCTAGCGTTCGAGAGATGCTGTGTACAGTATGTAATTTAAACAGCTGGTGTTCTACATTATGTATGTATGCATACATTTCGATTGATTTTGATACTTGATTTTTATCTCCATTTCTGTATTTTTCTACTCCTTTTTTCTTAAATTCTGATTTATTTTTATTGTATTGTAAAGCCCTTTGGATCTACTACGTTTTTTTTTTTTACTTGATTTGACTTGACTTCTTTTCTTTTTTCTCTCTTTAAGTTGTTCTTTTGCGTTTACCTTCAGTTTTCTTTTTCTTTGTTTTCTTTGCAGAAAGAGGCTTAAGATACAAGATGCACTCAACCACCCCTGGATTAAGGTAACAACTTGGATTATGTCTGAAACATGCACAATTGAAAGCATATTTATCTACACTTGTACTGCAAATGTGAAATGAGAACTTCCTACTGGCATTATCACATATCCGAGTGTTGAACTTTGCTCTGCTGTTTAGAGTGAACTGACCGGGGTTGTATGCACATCATTAACAATGATACATATGACAAACTTACTGTAAAGGTGCTATATCACATATGCCACGCTCTGCATTGTGCAATTGGAGTGATAGTTCAACCAATAATGAACATTCTGTCATCATTTACTCACATTCATGCCGTTCCAAACCAGTTTGGCTTACTTTCTTTTGTATTTGAATTCAAAAGAAGATATTTTGAAAAATGTCTTAATCTTTGTTTTGTCCATACAATAAAAGTCAGTGGGGTCCAATGTTGTTTTGGACCTAAAAAATCCTTTAAAAAATCTGGAACGACATGAGGGTGTGTAAATGATGCCCGACTTTCATTTTTGGGAGAACTATCCAGGTATCCTGGTTGTTGGCCAACTACTAGATGCACGTATGCATGCAAGTCTTCATCATGGAAGCAATCGCATGTCGATGAATTCTTCTAATCAATGATTGGACTGTAGATCCGACTCAATCCAGTGTGTACCATGCTGTTCTCCTCATCCTAACACCACCATCCCTTTGATCCAAGATCCTTCTTCCTGCCTGGGTCTGCTGCGTGAGTTAAATGCTTTGACTCCCTGGTGAAAAAGCGAACTAGTTTCTTACTCATTCTTCCTCCTAATTTCTCTATGCGAAGACCCACGAACTGCCGGAGGACAGCAGCGCCACCCTAGAGGCGCAAGAGAAAGTGGAATCGCAGCTGAAGACCAAACGCCTGAAAGAGTACACCATTCAATCCCACTCCAGCATGCCACCCAACAACACCTATGTCAACTTTGAGCGTTTCGCCAATGTTCTGGAGGACATCACGTTGGTGGAAATGGGTCTCGAAAATGTGGCTCAGAAGCGTGAATCCCTTCAGGACGACATTGAGGCTCTTCTTTCCATCTACAGCAAGAAGGAAACTTGGTATAAAGAGGAAAGTGAGACCATCCGGCAGGAGATCTCGCAGGTACGCTATGAGTTCCGCAAAGTGGAGGCGTTGAAGAAAGGCCTCCAGGAGGACTTGAGGACAACCGATGCCAACTTGGCCACCATTGACAGACGATACCTGACTAGAGAAGAGCACCTGAGCTGCCTCAGACAGGAGCTGAACGCAGAACTACGCTGGTTGCAGGAGGTTATGGGTTCACTAAACGGAGAGGCAGGGAACAGGGGCTTGGGTTCTAACTCAGCACTGAACAATGAGGTGAACAAGGCCCTGAAGGAGCTGTTGAGCAGGGCCTGTGGGGGCGAACTATGTCCTCGAGCACAACCCGACATCTCTGAGTCTAGCTAAAAGAGATTAGACTGCAGTTGTAATACACAGGGATTAGGAGAGTTGCAGGATGTGTAGTCAGTGGTGTAGATGGAGTCGCAACCACTGTGAAAGAAATGTATAAGTTTGTCGGGCAATAGTAATATTTTAAAGATCTAATTTTGTCATGATTTACTCACCCCCATGTTGTTCCAAACCAGTATGACTTTCTTGGGTGGAACACAAAAGAAGATATTTTGAGAAATGTCTCAGGTTTTTTTTGTCCATACAATGAAAGTCAATGGTTACCAAAAATGCTTGGCTGCCAACATTCTTCAAAATATATATTTTATGTATTCCACAGAAGAAAGAAAGTCATACAGATTTTAAATGACATGAGGGTAAGTAAATTATGATAGAATATAATTTTTTGGTTGAACGACCTTTTTGACCTATTCATGAGCTAGGCTAATAGGGTTTAAAACGTCTAAGGACCAGGGTGTAGCAAACTTTTATTATTCTGGATGGCATATATTATCCACTTTATGAAATTCCTAACCTGTCCTGCACTTTTTGGAATATAATTATATTTCAAGTGTTTAGTTTTTGTGAAAAGAAAAAAAAAGTATTTTAAGACCAAGCAAAATAAGGTTTGGCAGTGAAATGGATGAATGTGTAAGGATCAAGTTCCCAGTTCCAATAACGCACCGAATATTGTCACCTTATTATTATTCATGAGCCAGGCTTGGCAAGGTTTATATCACAAGACTTTAACAATTAAAGATCTTTAACTCAACAAAACATTAGTTTGAGACATGTTTGAGACATTTTTTATATTTATTTTACTGTAGTACCTCAAAATCAGAGTTTTCATGCAAAACACTAAATTTTAAAGTCAGTTTTGCATAAATGTTGCTGTTTATTTGTAACTTGCTTGTTTTGTATATACTTGAGAATATATATATATACAATATTTAAGTTATACACATGTTGGTACCCTACAGCATTCAAGAGTATACTTTAGAATTGAACATATTCCCCAATTTGATTGTTTTTGTCAGTATTGAAGTTTTTTTTAATTTATTGTCCAATACTGATCAAACATCCATAAAACAATTCTTTCCTTTTTTTAAAGGCAAGAGCCAACAGTTGAGATGATGTCAGCCTTTATGATTTCATTCCTTTTGTCATCTTTATGCATGGGTTGTTTTTCTGTTGTTTACAGGGGCCATACATTTGATTTTGGCCAATTTTTTTTTACTTGCTTTGTTTTTCTCTCTCTTATAATTAGTTTTAAGTTCTCTAATTTATTTGTAAATGCACCTATTTTAAGTACTTTTAGAAACGTTACATGCTCATTGCCAGTTTTAGTTTTACATTTAAACTGACTTTTCTTTCTTGCACATGTAATTTATTGTATATTCCTGTTACTTTCTACTTTAATTTACTTCAAAAAGTCATGGTTGTAGTATGTGATGTGCTTTGATTTGTGAATGTCAGCACTTGGATGTTTTCTTCAGCATGTCATTTTTTTCTACTCTGAATAAAGCACTGGAATGATGATTAAATACCTCACACTGAGCATTAGTCCTGCAGCTGGCCATGGTGCATTGTGGGATAGAGGGAGATGAAGTGTATTCAGTCCCTTAGGGGTGTGTATTTCTTGGAACTTGTGCAGTCATGTGCAATTGCTAAGGCATCACTTTTACCATTGCTCAAACTTTGGGCTAGCGATTTGAACAAAGCCCCAACCCAAAATAGTGAACTTCTGTAACACTGCTTGTGCTACAGACATGAGTGATACCCCAGATTGCGTGGAGAGGCTGCCTGACTTAAGATGTTTCAAGACTTACAGTATATTGAATGGTAACGATAATGTGATTGTCTTTCCTTTAGCCCATAAACCCGCGACAAGCCCTGGTACGACGACAATCTGTGGTGAACATTGAGAACTTCAGGAGACAATATGTTCGGAGGAGGTGGCAGGTAGGAGTTTTACATAGTTTTAGATCTGGAAATGGTGCTGTATGTTTCACCAATACATTTTTACCAATACTTTAAAAAATAAACCGTATATATACGATGTATGTCTCTGCACTTTCTGTTCAAGCCTGTTGGGACATCTCACCTTTAAGTAAAATAGGGATTGGGGATATGGGGACTAAAATAGTGGCCTATTTGAGGTTTCTTTTACAGTATAAAATACAAAGTTCTGTCCTGAAATTCTAGATGGTGCAGGCTGATAGGTCCTTGACTCAATCTGCTTGCAGTCACATCGTTCTCTATAGGGCACAGCTGATTGGTTCCTGCTGTATCAGTTGCCAATTAGCTCGCTGCTCAACCTTCAAATACTTGGCCAGCATTTGCTGTAGCAGTTGCAGCATGCTTTCAAAAACCCTCCACCTTCCCACAGCTCCACCTATATAGACACAGGGGTGAAAAGTACAAAATCGCTCATAATGTTCGAAGTGGGAGGAGCCACTTTTACTAAATTGGCTATAACTCGTGAACGGAATGAGATATTTTCACCAAACTCGGCGCACATACGTGAGAGCTCATACTGTTGTCGTGTGAAAAAGTATGCAGCGACTGACCACTTGGTGGTGCTAACATGGAAAAAAACATAAAAATGGCTACAACTACACAACCCTAAATCTGATTGACTTGAAAATCGGTATGCAGTGTCTTCGTCCAAGGTGCTAAGACTGACTTTGAGGACATTCGTGCATCTTGAAAAACGCAGCCGGTGGCGGTCAATTAAGTAAAAGCAGCTATCAGACAAGGTAAACGGAGGCTGTTCAAAACGAGGAGGCCTGTGTGAAATTCGAAATAAATCCGCCAACGGGGGACGCCTTCGCGTTTTTCACGTGCGTAAAGGATAGTATACCACACGATTTTTCGCACATGCCATACCGCATAGTAGAACTTCTCATTCTCAGCAACTTTGCCTCTTGGACCGCCAATGTCAATCAAATCGTTCGTTAAAAATTGGAGATTATTTAAAAACCAACTTTCGCGAACTACTCCTAGGTTTTTGGCTTAACCTCGATAACTGTTAAAAAGCTTTAAAACCATCTATTTCCTATGGTAAATTGCCTGTATTGGCTGTAAATGGTCTTTTCCGTCTATGATCGAGATGGTTACAGGCTTGCTAATTAAAACATAATACCTTTTTACGCATGTGCTTAGAGGCCTTAACGCGCTTGAACCCCGATAATTGCTGCTCGCAGCTATATTTTTTTTTATGTTTTTGAAAAAAGTATCTTCTGCTGACCAAAGCTGCATTTATTTGATCAAAATACAGTACAAACAGTAATATTGTGAAATATTTCATTTAAATTTAAATATGTTTTTTATTTCAATAGATTTTCAAATGTAATTTATTCCAGTGATGGTGAAGCAGAATTTTCAGCATCATTACTTCAGTCTTCAGTGTCACAAGGACCTTACAGAAATCATTTTTAAGCTGATTTGATGCTCAAAAACAGTGTTGAAAACAGTTGTGCTGCTTAATATCTTAAAACTGAAAACTGTTTTCCAGGATTTGTTAAATTGAAAGTTTAAAAGAACAGCATTTATTTGGATTAGAAGTTTTTTGTAACATCATAAATGTCTTTACTGCACTACTTTACTGACCCCAAACTTTTGAACTATAGTGTTTAGTCTAAAATGTAATTAAATTTTTTCCCTGTTCTCCAATAGCTTTCTTTCAGAATCGTGGCCCTCTGCAACCACTTGACACGCATGATGAAGAAAGGTCACCCCAAACCACAGGTATCGCATGAGAGTTAAACATTTCCAATAAAGATAATTGTCTGGTTCCAGTAGGTCCAGCAGTCTCCAGGTAATAATATGACCTGTTAAATCACAAGAACTCTATTGTCTTAGATCCCAAGATCACATACTCTGTCACGTTGGTATCTGTCGAATACCGTTTTACGAATGCATATTATCTTTGTCGGGATTTACAGGACAAACCCAAGATGGGCTACGTAGGGCGCACGGTGGCCATGTTCGAAAGAGAGTGTGAGAGCGATCAAGAGGAGGAGATGATGCAGAGGAAACCCCGAACTAGGAAGAGGAGTAGCACCTCCTGAAACTCCTTGCTGCTCCTACGACCGACGACAATACAAGCGTCTCAGCCGCACTCAGGTTTTGAGGTGAACCGGCAGCGCGTGTGCCTTTTCCAAATGCACACAGGTTGGATTGTTTTTAGAAAGGGTTTGTATTGGGTTTGTTTGACTTCATAGAGATTTGTCACCACATCTATAAACATGATGCAACAAGAGCAGTTGTGGCAAATATAGAATGTTCATGTTTTGAAGCCGTGTATAAATGTATTAATGTACATAATGGGATAGGGAAGACTTTACTGGATGTATTACAAGTTTGAATGTAAAGTTTACTTGTACAATGTCAAAATACATATTAGAGATGTTTAACGTCACACATGCCACTTTGCCTTGAGCCTTGTCTGTCTTAATATGTGCCACAACATTTCTGCATTCCTTTATTGAACGTCATTTCAATGGTGCATGATTGATATAGCCAACTTCATTTATTCTGTATGAAATTTGTTGATTTTATGTGTTATTTTTGATCATTTTACTGTGCAGATTGTTGTCTCAAGGTGTGGTCACATTTACCATTATTCTGCAGATTTTCGTGGGAAATTGCGAATCAGGAATTGCGCAATTTTGTGAAAAATCTCCCCACACAGATTTCACAGTGGGTTCAAGTTGGTCACACGAATTTCCCACGATGACCAACAGAAAACTTCTTGAAAGTGACTTCCGTGTGGGCCGTGCTTCATATATCGCTACACTATTCACAATTTCTTTTGCATGCAAAATTTTGAAAATTTGCATTTGATGAAGCAAGTCAGTGTCAAATGGACTGGGTTTGAAGTCCAGTTTAAAACAGTGTAAAACTCAATGTATTAGCTATTAAGTGTCTTAAATTTAGGTCAATTATCAAGCCTGGGTCGACAATGACTTGTAAAGCTCTTAAGACAATAATGAGGTTTCAGATGCCATTTTGATTTCAAAAACCTATGTTTATTGAAATCAGGGCTGATTTTTTGGTGCATGGGAAAGTCCATCCCTCTGTCGGGGAAAGACACTTAGGAGGAATTGGCAATGCTGTTGGATTGTGAAATGAAACTATGTATACATATCATTAGCTATGTTTCCATCCACCTATTCTTATGTGCATTTTGGGATACTGCATAAAAAAATGCCAAGATGCGCATAAATTCTAAAAATGCGCATAAAAGACTTATGCACTCAATTCCCAGTCAGCATCTTAGTGTTGGCCCAGATCCGGGCCACATCTGGTACATGTGAATTCCACACATACCAGATATGGGCCGGATCTGGGCAGACACTATATTGCTGTCTGGGTTAAAACGGATACGTTTTTATATCCGATGAGAAGACATGCGCATAAACTACAATGGAAACTCATAAATCCTTCAACGCGCAACAAAAAACTCACGTGACTTTGCCTCAACAGTGGATGTGATTGGATAACTGGACTAACCAATGGACCATTTTCATTGCACGGCATCTCAAATGTTGGTTTACCTATTCTGAAATGCCTGAGCCAAAGTCTGTCATTAAAATGGCTTGGTTTAATTCCCTCCCTCACATGATTGCTTTCCCAAACACCAAGGCATCCGAACACACGATAACATGACAGCGTTTATTGCGTTTCGTCTACATGCTCTGAGACACAAGTCATTTATGATGGAGGAAAAAAGAGCCACAGTTGCTTCCCTGATTGCAGCAACTTACAGATATTTTTCAGGAAGTGACTATTTTGTTCTCTTGAGCACATGGGATGGAAATCGTGCTTTTTTCGCAAATGTTTTATGCGATATTCCAATTTTGCGCATGAGGTAAATTCGCAACTTTGGATGGAAACATAGCTATTGAGACATGGTACTTGAGATATTTCAGGACTGCGCCACCTATTGGTCAGATGTTATAAAAATTATAAAAATGAGACATGTATTCATATCTTTTGAACCTAAAATTACGCCATTGTCTGGCTCTTTGGCTCCAGTATTCCCTTGACCCTACATAGGACAAGGTTTTTGGAAAATGGATGAGTTTACTTTTTAATAGTACAGTAACTAGATTAAAGTTACACATATGTAAATGATTGTATCACAGTGCCTTGAGGCTGAATGTGATTGTAGGACTGAAAGTGTGTCATAGGCTGCACACAGTGCCCTGTGCTCTACATACAACACCATCAGGAAGAGGTTGTAGTATCTCATTGTTCCCAGGAATGTGTTCTTGGGCTTATAAATCTCAATGTCATTTTCTAAGTAGGCTCAAAAGTTCCAATTTATTTCTTTAATAAATTGTAAGAAATACAGTTGTTCATTCTGCTAGAGTATTAAACCTTAATTGATTTTAAACCATTTTGCAGTGCGTATTTATACATTACATACCTGTTCAAATCCTTTTGTTTACGTGTATAAACGTGACTATGTTCAGTGCATGTTAATGTACACCTGTATCGCATCACTTCCTGTGCATCAGTCACATGATTGGTGGTGTTAGAGGACTAAACAGTATTGTTTACCAGTATAAATGCCAGATTTTCCTCTAAGTGGAAAGTATTCGTAAAATCAAATGTGCCTCAAAAAAAGATCTCCCTTATATCCATTTCTTTTATACTCTTGATATGACTGTACTTGTGTTGTTCACGACCAATGTGAAATGAAAAAAGTTTACTAAGAATAAAAAAATGCCCCTTTTGTACAAATAGGAGAAGTAATAATAAATGATTAATATATTTATTGAAGTGCTTGTTTGATTATTTTCGATTCACTAGTAAGGTCAGGAAATTGAAATTAAGAAGAATTTCGTTAAATCTTCATGAGGTGCATCATGGGATGCTTACTGACAGAGTTCACGGCTGCTTTTACTATCTGCTCATCCTCCAAAACAATTTAAAAATGAATATATAAATAAAGAAATAAGATTAATAATTGTATTATCTTAAATCTTATAAGTTATTATTATTAGTGGTAGTAGTTAATAATGGTATATATTAAATTGATCAATGAATAGCCTTTTTAGTAATTAATAGTAAATAATAATTAATAGCAATACTTAAAATAATTAACTAAATAATTGTAGATATAGTGAATATATTAATATATGAATAATTTATGATAATATGATATAATTAACAATAACTACTACTAACAATAATAATGATGATAATAATAGCTAAAATATGAAATGTTTGATTCATAAATTGTTCATTTTTGAATAATAATAATCATAATTGTAGAATTCAATAGTGAGTAAATATATGAATAAATGAATAACCTTATGTTCATATAATATATTATAATTAATAATAATAACTAATAATAATATCTTAAATGTTTGATTCATAAATGTCAAATGTCTGAATATTAATAATAAAAAGAATTGCATTTCTGTACAGAAATGTATATAGGAACCATTTATGTATGTTAGGAACCAGTTTCAAACATTTCAGCCTTTATATTAAGATTTTTAAGGTCATGTAACGCATAAATTCAAAGTCAGTACAGAGTGAACTGACTGCTTTGGGCTTGTGTTATTCTGTAATCCAACTTTTGTGTCACAATCAGTCTGTTAGTGAGAAAGTTTGCCCTCTCGTCCAGGCAGTCAGGCAGTTTCACAACGGCAGTGTTGTTTGGGCTCAATTTAGCTGAACGCAGTTGTGGTGAAAACTTGACCTGAACTAAATAAACTGCCATTAGAGAAGTAGGCCAGTGGCAATTTGAAAAGTATCAGGTGGAAGAAGCGAACCCGTTTTTTTTTTTTTTTTTTTATCTCAACTCTAAATCAATCTGGCCTGAGCAAAGTGTACTCTCTGAAACCAAGGGGTCTTGAGTTTACCTTGCGTGTATGTGTGTGTGTGTTCATTTTAATTTCACTAATTTCTCAATAACAATGAGCTGAATTTTACCAAGTGTGCCAAAGTTGGTTCCATTCCAGACCATTGCCCTACATATTTCAGTAATCTTTCCTTATCCCATCCAATTTGTATTATTATCCAATGTGTTATTATGTACAGCCAATATGTTATTCAAAGAGATTAGAGTTGTCATTATGTCATTAATGGGGACATGTTATGCAAAATTCACTTTTACGTGGTGTTTGAACTTAAATGTGTGTCGAGGGTGTGTACACAACCACCCTATAATGATAAAAATCCACCCACTCCTCTTTTTTAATCCCCGGCCATAAATCATAAACAGTGTCTCAGAACAAGCCATTTGCAGATTGTAGCTTTTGTAACGTCACAAATGTGTAGGCCCCGCCCACGACGGCTGATGGACTGTGCCTTATTATGATTTCTTTACTTGCGACTGATTCACTCGTACCCTGCGACTGATGATCCACTCATACCCTGCGACTGATCCACTCGTACCCTGCTGCTGTGTTCACAGACATAACCAATGGTGTTTGTGTGAACTTAGTGTGTTTTTGACATAACCTTGTGTGTATTTGACAGTTTAAGCACAATAAGACTTGAAAGAGAACTTAGTTTAATACTCACATGATGCTCCGTCTGACATCCAGCTTTCTGTGCGTGTGCTTTGGGTGCGTGCGGTCAGGAAACCATATATCCGAAGTTTAGACTGGCTTTAAAATGCATGCAGTTAATAAACTTTCGTGATGATGAAGAACTGCAATGTCACATGAACATGACCGCGATAGAGATGATAATCAAAACCAAACAGATGTTTTCGTTTTTGGCAGAGCATCAGTATCCAAGGCACGAGCTGTAAAGGCTCCGCCCTCTTCTGGAAAGCAGGGCGAGGAGCAGCAGCTCATTTGCATTTAAAGATACATGCATAAAAACAGCAACCGAGAATTTACAACATGGTATAATAAATTATCTGTGGGGTATTTTGAGCTGAAACTTCCTTCTGGGGACACCTGAGACTTATATTACATATTGTAAAAAAGGGCATAATAGGTCCCCTTTAACATCAACAATGTCTCACAAGGTCTTTTGTTTATTTCAATCGAATGATTGGGTTCTTGATTGTAACTCAGAGCCTTTAGAAATGTTTCTGGGATGTTAACAATGAAAGAGTTTTACTATCCTATTTATGTGATAAGACCGCTGGGGTGGCCATTTCTGCACTGCAAGTGTGTGCTTTCATTTTTGGTTTATTATTTCAACAATGATTCATGAAGAATACCCTTGGTACGCATACACATACTTTTTCCACTAAAGTCTTACTTTAACAAATATCCGCATAACGTCTGAAATCGGTTTATTTTTCCACAAACTTCAAGCTGCTTTTTGGCCTTCAACTTACCAGATTCCTGTTGAATTATGGGAGAAATCAGAAACTCTGATGGTAGCTTAATGCTTCACATATCTAGCTTATCTTATCTGGTGCTTCCAATGTATTTTGAACCATCATAGCATCATTAAAGCAACTATTAACCGGCCTCAGATCAGTTTTTGCAGGTGCCAGTGTAACTGATCTGTCTGTTACGGCTTAAAACAAAAGATGAATTGCAGTTGCTGGAATGTAGCTGTAAGCTTAAACCGTGGGTGGATCACGAAGATTAGCTT